CGTAAATATTTGTCGATTTATATATTTTACATAAATATTAAAATAATTAAAACTAATGTCATTTTTAGAGTAATTATTATACAAAACTGAGATCTAATCTTATGAAAATTTAACCTAGTTAATTATATTTTTATTAGCACCATGTTTTAAATGTGGCAAGTTATTGTTAGAACTAAGTCATGGGTTACATTTCATTTTTATAACATTTTGCTTACAATATGGAATTAACACTAAAACTTAAAAAATATTAAATTTTTCTATTTTGAAAAAAAAACAGCAACTATTTAAAGCAGCGATAAGTGACTTAACTTAAATACACATATACTTAATAAGTAATCGTAATATTTAACAAGTTATATTATGCAATATTTAAAGGCAGAAATTACAAACTTGGGTATTTTAAAAAGAGACAGAAATATTTGTAAGATTTTTCACTTTGGCTTTTTGTTAACAAGAAGTTAATAGCACAAATAGTAAGATTTACTTTTATTTAAGAATTTGTTGATAATTTTCTAAGTAGAGTTTAAAAAGATAACGTATACTTAAGTCTTTCATTTTTCAATCGTGGTATAATACAATTACAACTTTATAGCGGCTCGAGGTTAACTGCGTACGCAAGTTTGATTGGTTGTTATTGGGTATAAAGGAATGCGAGGGCAGAGTGTGTAGGAATTCGCTTCACTTTACATGCTCTTGATATTTTACAATTCCACCGAATTAGATGTAATCCCTTACATTTCTTTTTTAACGAAACGGACACAATAATATTAACAATGCAACTACAATTAAATACACAATAAAACAGATTATAAAATACTGTACTACTATATTAGTCTACTATAATGTAGTGCTTTTATCCATAAAAAGAATTATAACTCAAAATTCATCTTTTTTGAGTTAGTCATCATAAACAATATTAACATAATTTTGCGGAAATACGACCAATTCAACTCGCGTGACAATAGAAAAGAAACAGATAGGACAACGTCTTTCTCTCTCATCTCAAATCTGTAACATGCTAAACTTCAAAGGCGATTTCCCAAAAAATAAATTGCGTTAATTTATTGACCGACTTCCCAAAAGAACGAGGTACTCTGTCTGTATGTTTTACTTCTTCTT